CCGCTAGGTCTAGCAGCACCGGCAGTTGTGCCGGGAAAGATACTGCTACAGGAAGCCTGGAAAGTCGGAGGCAACTGGGATGATAAGTTGCCTGATGGCATCGCAGCCGCATGTGCGCAATCGTAGGGAGAGTTGGCCGAAGTGGTGAGCATTGACATACCACGTTGGATTTGCTGCAATCTTGACACGCCGATTGCGCTTCATGCCTTCGAGGATGCCAGTGAGAAAGCGTTTGGATGTTGTTTGTATGCAGTCGTCAATGGACAGTCACACTTGGTATTTGCCAAGGCCAAAGTGGCACCCGTGTCTCCGCCCACGTTAGCCTGCCTTGAGTTACAAGCAGTATGGCTGGACTGACAGTCTCACTACCGTTCATTGGATCAGTAATCCATCGTACAAATGGAAAACATTTGTGGCTAACCGCGTCAGTCAAGTCCAAGAGATATCGAAGAAGGTCGGCATTGTGTGGAACCATTGCCCGGCCTTCACAACCCAGCATATTTACCGTCGCGTGGGAGTAGTGCACAGCAGATCCGTAGTCCGTTCTGGAGGGGCGGACCAACCTGGATCAAGGAGCCCAATGACTGGCCCACCGCATCCTCAACCGCAGCTACAGATGAGTCCGGTGTAGAAGTACGAGTGTCAGCCACCACCTGTAGTCGAGAATCTGATAAAGAATGGTGGCTCCGATTCAGTAAGTGGTCGAGGGCACAGGGCATGGTGACTCGGATGTTGCAGTGGAAGCACACTGAGCCTCGTGCTGAACGCTATTTTGCAGCAGACAACGTATTGTACCGCATCGTTCAAGCCACATGTTTCGCTGAGGATCTTGAGCTGATCAAGCAAGGTCAACCAGTGAAGCCTGGGTCGAATGTGTATCAGCTTGCACCGTTTCTGGATGAGCATGGAGTGCTCAGAGCCGGGGGACGACTTCAGCACAGCGAGTTGGCGTATGGAGCCAAGCACCCAGTCCTCTTAGGCCAACATCATCTGACCGAGTTGCTGTTGGAGAAAATGCATGTTGAAAGGATGCACCAAGGTGTAGAAGGAGTCTTGTCGTTCATCCGTCAGAAATTCTGGATTATCGGTGGTTGACGAGCGCTACGCAACATTACTCAGCGATGTGTTACATGCCGCCGCTACAAGGCTAAGGCTGCCTCAGAAGTCTGCCCGCCGCTGCCAGAAGACCGAGTTGTTCACGAGAGGCCGTTCGCAACTACCGGCATCGACTATTTTTTTTTTTTTTTTTTTTTTTTTTTTTTTTTTTATTGAAAACCACAAACCTTCAGACATGTGAATGTGCACATGATATACAGTGTACATACGTATGTATCGAGAAGGCAGCACGGAAACGGCAGTGGTGGTGAGGCCTGGGCAGCTCGTCCGACCGTGGGTCTCGGAGTCAACACTGGGCAGACGCACCGGGGGGGGGGGGGGGGGGGGGTAGCTTAGGAGATAAGGGATGAAGCCAGCATGATCATAGTATGTAATGCATATGCAGAAGTAATAATGATGTTAATCTTAAAAACAATAGTGCGGTGGACCTGCGCAGAGGAAAGGCATCATGGACATGATCTACGTGTATAACATAATAATATAATAATTAAAAGTGAGCTAGGGCACATCATACACACACACACACATATGCGCATGTTCAAATAGGAGATCAACCTGATAGGGCGTTCACCGGCCTTGGGTAATCTTGAAATAAAGATATTAATTTTATTGAAGAGATTATTATCATACGCTCACATAAACACCACATACCAACCATGTGCACCCACCCCCACACACACGCGCGCGCACACACACACACACACATGCTCGCACGCACGCACACACGCACGCACACACATACACACACATACACACACACACACACACACACGCACACACATACACACACACACACACACACACACACACACACACACGTACACACAGACAGACACACACACACACACACGTACACACAGACACACACGTGCACATTCACGCAGACGCGTAATCATACATAATATTTGTGTACAGACTCACTCTCTCACAGTAACGTCCAGAAAACCACCACGCCGAGTCCCTACAGCCGGTCGGTCGCCCAGTCCCAGTGGCTCGAGCGCAGGAATCGGTGGACGCTGCACTTGAAGGACTGCAACCTCTTCTGGTCGGGCTGATCCAGGAGGTGTTGGCGAGGCAACTGGTTCCAGGTGTCCAGCACTCCTTCAGGGAACGACCGGCGGACGTTGTTGCGAGAATTGGCTGGGATATCAGACTGCAGCTGGTAGCGGTGGCCGGCCGCCACCCGCGCCTGCTGCCTGGTGTTGGCAGGATGTTGGTCGTGGTCTGGTACTGCTTGGGAGGGGGGCAGCATTCGGGTTAGCATCTGTGGGCCTGTCAGGTAGTGGATTTTGTAGAGATAGCAGAGAGCAGCCACTTTGCGCCGGAGTTCGAGGCTTGGCAGATATGCGCCTTCGCCGATCAGATGCAGGGCTCTCCGCTGTACAGCATCGAGTTGGGCCAGCACCGTCTGAGAAGCACCCATCCAGACTAGCATGCCATGCTCTAAGACTGGGCGAACAAAGCCGTTGTAGACCGTGAGACGGCAGCCAGGGTCAAGCACTGCTGAGGCCTTCTTCAGGAAGCCCAGTCGCTGTGTGGCGCGCAGGGCTGACTGTCGAATCTGCTGGCAGAATGACTATGCTGGTCCGTTGTACGTGAGCCGTGGTGAGTCATCTCCGAAGGTATGGATAGCATTGTTTGTGTGTGCCACCACCAGAGCAGTTCACTGGGAGGTGGTCGATACTTTAAGTACTGAGTCATTCTTGATACTTGTAGTAGCTTTTCGGAAGTTTGTCGCGAGACGTAGTTTGCCGTCTCGGATCAGGTCTAACAACGCTATAACGTTCATGACGGCCTCTGACAAACTGAGTGTGCCATGGATGTTCAATCCTCCAGCTGCACCATGGCATGGAGGCTTCTATGAGCGAATGGTTGGTACAGTGAAGAGTGCCTTGAAAAAGGTAATGGGAACAGCTTTTCTGAAGGTCCAGGAGCTTGAGACCCTCTTGTATGAGGTTGAAGCAGTGGTGAATAGTCGTCCGCTAACTTATGTGTCTGATAGCCTGGATGAGCCACCAGTAACCCCTGCAATGATGATGGGTAACATCTGGATGTCGTCAGAGAAGCCAGCAGGTGCCCCGGACGCTACGCAGATGTCATCGAGATTGCGTTACCTCAGTCGGACACTGAAGCATGTCAAGAATCGTCGGGAGGTGGAGTACCTAAGTCAGCTGAACAAGCACCAACAGACCATGTCGCGCCTTTTAGCTGTGGGTGATGTTGTCTTTGTTCTCGATGATACCAAACGCAAGCAGTTCTGGCGTATGGGACAGATCATCGAGTTATTCCCTGGTCGAGATGGTAAGCGTTGTGTTGCCAAGGCTAAGTTGAGTACCAGTACCCTGTTGAGGCCAATCCAGAGGTTAGTGCCATTAGAAGTATCGTCACAGGACGTGGCTCCTGGGCTTGCTGATGCCGCTCAACCTGCTATCGTCCCTCAGCAGCCAGCGTATGAACCGTCAGCACCGTTACCACCACCACGGCAGCAGGAGATGATGCGTTCTGGGCGCGTAGTCAGAGCCCCGGATCGTTTTTGACTTGTGTGCATTGTTGTACGGCGGTGAGAAGCCCTTTGGTGGGGAGAATGTTGCAAACCACCAGTTCTCAAGTGGGAAAGGCTTTCGCGCTTTTGGCATTGTATTCGTTGCAATGTTGTATTTCGACTCCGCCGTACCGCTGATGTTGCTGCATGGCATACGCTATATGCGCTGTGTGCGTTTTGCTGTATACGCTGTTATGTCCCGTTTTATATGCGTATGTTTTGCATGTACGCTGTTTTGCATGCTATAAATAGCTGGTGTTATTAGTGTTCATTGTTAATTATTCGATGAAGTGAAATATACTGTTTAAAGGAAAAGAGTTGTCCTCGTGCCGTGTGGTCGTACGATCCTGACAATTTAGAGAATCGTAGAGGGTTCACAACACGCTATAACTACTTGGTGGTTTTAGTGTTACTTGTATTTTTATTATTCGATAAAGTGAAATACTTATACTGTCAAGAGTTAATAGTTGTCCTCGTGCCGTGTGGTCGTTCATTCCTGATTTTTAGAGAACCAGAAGGGTTCGCAACTTCTATTTACTAGGTTTTCAATAGAAATGCCACATTTTCATTTACACATGGTGGACAGGTCGCACTACCCTGCAGTCTTTTGGGATCCAGCCATATCTTAAAAACGTATAAACTCGTCCTACGTCCTCAGAAGGTGAAAGAGTTATTGTTAAGGTGGCAGCCTACCCATAAATTTCATATGACATTCAATTGACCGTAACTTTGGTGTCTCTCAATGGATTGGCCAATCCTGCCACTATGTTGGCCCTATGGTCATGATTTAAAAGTTCCTGTGCCTCACTGATAGGCTTTCCACGCCTACTGCCTAGTACTGAATCCTACCTGACTTCTTCAAATAACTCAAACTTGCCAAAGTCACTAAATCAACGTCTACTTCAATAATCAAGCCACATATCTGCACCGTCACGAGGGTGCTGGAAAAAGTCCTGCTGCACAGCGGCGAGCAAAGCCCGCCCGCGTACAGCCCGATACATGGCTAAAAAACGTGATTTTTGTACAAAAATCCTGCACACTTCTGCGTTTTCCATGATACGATAAGTTTTGCACATGGTCTCTCCAGATTCAAAATACAGTGCTGCCAAAAAATGACAGCATGCAGCAAAAAAATCTGTCCTTGCAAGGGCACATGTTCGGCAATAACTCTTGACTGGCTGGTCAGATCGAGACAAAAATTTCAGAGATTTTGCAGCTATTCATGCTCTTTCAACTGATGTGGTACTCGATATGAATATACAAATTCGATTTTTAAGGGAATTTTTGGGTATTCTGCTGCCTTCATTTTATGTCGGTGCCATGTGGAACCATGTCTTTGCAGCAAGCGATTGTGGAGCGATCCAGAAACCTGTAAATGGAATGTTCTTTACGAACGGAACTACTTATGGCTCTATGGCTTCATTCACATGCAACATTGGTTACAACCTTGCTGGCTCTTCGTCAATAACTTGTCCTGAGAGTGGAGTATGGTCGGCTACCTTCCCCAGCTGTGACCGTAAGTTCAGAGTATTACCAAAAGCTGAGCCCTCTATGCACTGGCTCCGGGGATGTTGTACTTGATAGATCACACACGGTATTGAATCACATTTCTATGAAACAACTGGCAGTCAAATATTGTATTTTTTGGGGGGGGGGGGGATAAGAGACGTCATCTGAACGATAATATCTCTGCTCACTTCAAGGGTTGTCGCCAAAGGTACTTTGTCGTCCCTTAACCCTTTGAAGGCCAGCTCGTTTTCCATAATTCCAAGGCGTTCGCACAATACAGCACGCAGCCACGGATGGGCGGTTTCAATAATTTCCAACTTCACTCGCCTGCAATGGATGTTAATGATGTCGAGATCCCAGAAAAGCTTGTTATCTTCTTCATCGAAACGTAAACAAAAGCAACGGTAGCCCCTCCAAGTCCTTTGAATGCAACTACATTGCGCCTGACTGAGATACACCACCCACATCCACAAATTCCTTTTGTTCAGGACTTGTACTCAACGCAGAATAACGAATCAAACTTCTTCATGTTGAGAAAGTTCACGCATTCGTCTTGGTACCCACTGCGCATGGGCCGCTCTGCTATGTGTCATGGGGATACCCACGGAATTTCAGCTCGAAAATTTAAAAAGTTAGCAAGCTTTCCTAACTTTGCCCCTCGGTTATTTCGTATCGCACCACAGCAAACGATGCACCTCTTCAAAGGACTTTCCCTCAGCTTCCCAATAAGCCCTGGTTTGCGAAAATCAAGCACAGAACAATCTTCACCTTCTACATGAACACAGTTTGATTATGCTGAGTGATGAGAACCTCATGCACGTACTGTGTTGATCTTGGCGCAATTTGTGAATAAAAAATGTGTCAAATTAGTTGAAGATTCTAACCGTACCTTGTCGGATAGTGAATGGGCGGTTTTTAGCTCTCAAAAACATTCTCGAAATATCATTATTACAAGAAAAGTGCAATATTACATAGAAATATACGGAATATCCCCTTCTGAACCAGAACATTTTCATTAGTCTCTAAATGTAAGGATTACATAGCTTACCGTACTCGTGTAGCGGGCCGCAGTCTCTCGGAGGCAAATGCACACGGGTCTCTGTGAACACACTGTAACTGGCAATTGAAATGTACTGGCAACGAAATTAACTGATTGGCAACTAAATTAACTAACTGGCTATAAAAGAATCGTGAGCAGCAGCTTTGATGCAAAGGCAGACTTCGTACGCTAATGTACGGGGATACGCTAACGTATGGGGATACAGTACGGGGATATGCTATACTCTAAACACTAAACGCTATACGCTTTGAAGTCACCAGCGTGCCAACGCTACACTCGCGCGGTTAGTGCCCCTGGGGCACTATTCAAGAGAGTGCACTATCTAAGAGAGGGCACTATGTTTTCAATGCAAGTACATTTGCATCATGCAGCGCAAAACAGAGCAAAACAGAGCCCAAAGCCTACTGTAAACTATCACGACTCAACAGAAACGGCATCAAGAACTGCGATGTTGATGTAGAAGCTACCAGTTCAATGATATGGACAAGAACATTACGAATAGAACACCAAACTTTAGGGTTCACAGATTGGCATGCTAGCGTCCCCAGCTACATCATGCACTTGAGAGGCGCGTGCATATACTGTACCACACAATCAGTCAGTGCTCAAATCGCATTTTCCCATCAATATCACTCACTTTGAACTCTAATGGATTCATTACGTTTGCCTGAACTTTTGAATCCACACGCACGAAAGACGTTCCAAGACTTCCACCGTTCGTATTTTTTCAAACGAGTCACCGGGTTTTCCAGTAACTTAGGGCAAAGTTCGGCAAAAAAAGGGGGAGCAGTTGCATTTCCGTAAAATATTGAACGGTAGAAGGATAGCCAAGGTCGAGAGCAAAACAACAAGCCATTATTTGTCAAAATCGAACAAGAAGCGGCTCAGCGCATCTATTTTCCGTGCACGCGCGCGCGCGTACTTTGGCCGACAAGGTGTCAGAATTTCTAAAGAAGAAGAATAACAAGAGCAGCAGCGCTCGGAACAGCTGTGCTGGATACTTCCAATCCCGACACGATGGAGCGTGTTGGCTGTCGTGAGCTGCTGAAACGACCATGACATTTCTTTTTCCTTGTATACCCTACATATCGTGACGTGCCCTTGCTCAGTTTCAGCCTCTTTACAGGAAAAATATTTTCTTCCTTGGCATCAGCGGTGGTAGGTGAGTATATCAGACCCACCACAAAGTGGTCAAAGACCGAAATCCCATTCACTGCATCCATGTTTCCCTCGTGCCAGGCCACGAGTTCCCAATTAACTGTGGGTCGCAGCACGGCTGGAAAAAATCCTTCCGCTTCCAAGCAGGACTTGAACCTGGTAGACCCAGGTGCTCGAAGTCCGTACATGGTATCCTAAGTTCGTACGCCCATAATTTCATGTTCTGTTATTGTATTCGACTCAAATATTTTATGGAGGGGACAGTGTGGTATGTTCTCCTCGCGTAGCAATTTTCAGGGATCTACGATATGCAGAAGTCCCATACCACGCGAGTGGGTTTTCGAGTGTCCATACGAAATACAAATTGGGTTACATTTCATGCAAAAATCAACTTTGCCAAGACCGATTTCGAACGGACACAGCGTCAAACAGACCTTCACTCAATCATCAAGAGCCAGCTTAGAGCTGACAATGGCCAGAGGAGAAGAATTTACAGAGAACCACCAATCCTTGCAGAAAGGTTGACACTCCTGGCATCTCCACCACTGTTTTCCCGCGGTTTTCACAGCGCAGCTGCTTCTTCTCTGAGCCGACTAAAAACAGCTTGCATTTCGGCAACAAACTACGCTTTTGCAAGAAATACTGGTGGAGGCACATGCCAAACATATCCCTTCGGTGCTTTCGTCGTAACTGAGGGATTGCAAGTTAGCAATTAGCAGAAATATGTGTGTATTTCGAGTCACCTCTGATCAGTACGGACTTAGAGTACCCTCTGCGACACCAAAATTTGATATGAAAAATCAGCGAACTCCAGAGAAACAGATCGGATCGAAAGTTGGCCTGGTTCAATCGAGCCTGGCCTCAGAACAAACTTGGACAAGATACCTTCCATCCACGAGCAGGATTCTGGCAAGTGATCACTGCTAGTGTGAGTTTCAGCTCGGCAAACACACACTGTAAAAGTGTACGGACTTCGAGCACCTGGGTCTACCCTCTGTTTCTCAATCATGGTCTTAGACCATCCCACTATGCCTGCCTGCATCTGCGCCTTGATCCAAGAGGATCCAAGAGGGTGGAGGGTGGTGGCGTTCCTGCGGATGCGGAAAACTGGGCCTTTGGCCGAGTCTCACGCGAACCGTGAATTTTTTTGCATTAGCTGCCAAACAGCAAGTAGAGCAACAGATCGAGATTTGCAGGGCAAACAAAGGATGCGTGCAGCTACATCTAGTCAGGTTCGATGCAGCTGCGCTTTGCCAGAACCTCAGCAGATAAGAAAAGACAACAAAGTGTCTCAGATGGAACTGGATCTTTCGCCAAGACCGCCACCGCCGCCATCATCAAGTCCAGGTGCTATAGGTCAGTCAGAAAAACCGAAGAAAAAATGCAAAGCCCGAGTGAAGTGAAGCCACTGAAGCCAAGGAAAAATTCTAAAAGTACGCTCTCCGGCTAGACTTCGAGTCGATATTTATTTACTTCGATAGGCGCTGTCGTGGCCTGTAGCGCGCGTCCATAATCCAAACTGGAGGCGCACGTGGCGGGTGCTTTTAGTGGCAAGCCGTGAACCCTAAACTTGCACATGCGCTTGGTTACAAACTCGGGAGGGAGGAGGGGGGGGGGGCATTATTCAGGAGAGAGAGAGACGAGAATTGGTGAGCACACATGCTCATTCCCTGGGCACTGCAAATTCACACCTCATTTCATTTCACAGAATCATTTTCAACGTTTCGGCAAATTGCCATCATCAGGATGCAATATGAAGTGGAAGTCTGCCAAGGAGCAGTTATATACACTAATTTGGTGTTCTTAGGTGTTGATAATATTTCTATGACTGCACATGTTACCTCAGTGCTAGAAATATGACATGTCTAAAACTAGTGAAAGATCACAAGTTTTCACTGACTCATATGGTGGGTGTTGGTAATAAGTTAGCACAGCGCAGATGTCACCAGATAACTTGAGAAATGTGTGAACAGGTTTCTCGTGAGTAATACATGAATGTGACCATATTAGTGGTTTCCAGAAAATTCTGTCACCTTGATAACCAGTGTGGTGCGACTGTTTCAGAGTAATGGCCATCCAGCACTGGTGTTGATCTCTGGGCCTTCGTTTCTGATCTCCACTGCCTCCCTCAATTTGCAGCTTGCCCTGTCACTGGCTCTTGCAATCACAGACACTGCTGCGAAGCTGCTGTCCCTGACGTAAAGGTTGATCCCTGCATGCTTAGCTCGCATGTCGTCACCTCATGGCTTATCAACAGTGCGCCTACGAGCTTCACTGCTGTGTTCCTCCAGTCTTGTCTCCAGTGTGCGACCCGTCTCTATGATGTATTTTTCCCTGCACAACTTGCTTTGCAGAGAGTATATCACATTCTTCCTCAAAAATATTTTCACCCCACCCAACTTACAAGTCAGACACGGACCCATTGGGCGTCCTCCTCTCTTTGTCTTTCTGATGTTGGGCTCCTTAATGCAGCTGGGCGGACTTTGTGCTGAGTGACAGAGCTGACGTTTGAGGCTACCCGCATGCTCGTAAACCACCCGGACTGGTAACTTGTGCTTCCAGATAGCTTTACTGACGCTGTGATGCACCCTGTCCGACTTATATGGCAGCTTCAGAAACGTACAACACGGATTACCTCGGCGGCGATGCTTGGGTTTCCTTGCTGCTTCTTGGGCATTAATGATGAGGCTCTCTACACAGTGGTTGAGTTGAAGTTGGTCTTGAATTTTCATTTTTACACATGGTGTCATTGGAAGACCGACGTTGTGGTCTTAAGAATTGAGACTTGGCAACTGCAAGTTTGATGTGATGGAGCACAGCAGATGCATAGTCTATTAGCAATCCACTATTGCATGGCTTTTGGAAGAGCTTGTACGTCATCTAGCCCGACTGTTGTATGGCGATCGTCCCGTCCATGTAATCAATCCAGGCTTTGCTACTGCTGAGCTCGTAGGTGAACTTGAGTCGGTCGTGTCCTGCATTGAAGTGCTGTATTATCTCCAAGATGCGTTTCTCACCGTGGGTCCAGAGAAGGATCAAATCGTCAATGTACCGTTTTTACAGTACAAGCAGAACCGGTGAATCGGCAAGAAGGCTCGTTTCCAGAGAGGGCATGAACAATATCGCGAATGGTGGGGCTAGATTATTGCCCATTGCAACTCCCTCTAGCTGGTGGTAAATCTGTCGCCCGAATCTGAAGAAATTGTTAGTGACAACAAATTGAAGCAAGTCCTTGACTTCGCTCACGTTAAGGCCGAACATGTTGATTCTTTTGAAATTCTGTTCCAATATTTCTCCCATTGCGTTGACTGCCTCTTCAATTGGAATGTTCGGGTATATACCCACGACATCCAAAGTGGCAAGAATTGTCCCCTCTGGAGCTTTGAGATCTGGGAATAAAGCGCAGATGTCCTCAAGGGCTTCATTCGTATTAGTGAGGTGTGCTGGGACATAGCTTAGCAACTTGTGTAGAATGCGTTCTAGTACGATTTATATGCCCGTGAAAGGACTATCACATGCTGACACGATGGGTCGTAGGGGTAGGTTCTGTTTATGATCCTTTGGGAGACCATAGAACTAGGGGAATCTTGTATCATTGGGGAGAGTCGACTTAACAGCTTGGAATCCATGTTCTTGCATTTGTCCCTAAGGACAGCTTCCACCCGTGTCTTGAACTCGGTTATTGTTAGGTCAACCTTTTCGTACATAGCGCTATCTGATAGCAAGGCGTCTGCCTTTTCCAGGTAGAGCGTTTGTTTCAGTGCGACTAACTTCTTACTGTTGTCTGACGGTTTGATGACTGTACTTGTGTCCTTTCGGAGTCTGGCCACACCATCTCGTACCTCCTTGGTCATGTTAGACGTCTGTAGCTTGTGTTTGGTGTAGGCAGCGAGAACATTGTCCCTGAAATTTGCAAGCTTTCTTCCTTCATCGTCACACATTTTCGGCGGTTTAAACCCATGCTGCTTGAGCTTCCAGAGTTTTCTGTCGCCCATCGTGTCTCGTCTGGAACCTCCACCTCTTGAGGCTGCGCTTGCTGCCAGCGCAATGTGTAGGCCATCCGCTCGACAGACGGGATCACGTCCAAATGCTCACGATCCGTAAACTTGCCTGTCGAAGGAACAAAGCTCGGCCCAAGCTCAAGAATCTGCCTAGTGCTGTCCGGCACAAAATCATCCACAACCAATGACCGCTGGACACTGGATCCATCACAAGTCGCCGCACTACTGGTCCGAGCGCCAAGCTGGGCTTGCGAGGCGGCTTGCGTAATGTCATGCTCTTGCTGGCCAGCTTCTGCACGAAGCTTGCCAAGCTTCCGGGCTAGCCTTGCATTCGTATCGATGCGCTCCTCTGTGGGTACACAACGCTTCACGGTACGGATCCTTATGCAGTCCTCCCGAGAGAATGACCAGAGCTTGTCCCGAAAGTGCGTGCTCTGTCTCAAGCGAAAGTCCTTCTCTGCACACTTGTCCTCTATGTCGTCGCTCAGAAGACGAAGGCAGTACTGGTGTCTTCTTCTTTGGCGAACTTCCTTTTGCCTGGAAGACCTTGGCTGTCGGGTGCACTGAGTTATAAATCGTGGAACCAAGTTTTCCCTCCGGCATTGTAGCAGAATGGACAACTGACACTCGCTCCTTTGCAACTTCCACGCCAATTGCAGATAGCGCCAGAGGGAGAAAGAGAGAGTGAGAGAGAGAGAGAGAGAAAGAGAGAGAGAGAGAGCTCTATTTGTTCACTGTCTCTTAGAGACTGGGGCACTATTCGAGAGTGGGCACTATTCAAGGGAGGGCCCTAATTGCTCGCGTACGGTATATCTTGTTGCTCCACTGCACAGGAGTCGTGTGCAACACACTGGTGAAGCCCACGCTTGGCACCGTAAGAATAGCAGCTAATGATTATCTATCCACTGCAACTTATAGTTGCAATGATGGCTATGTGTTGTCTGGTGATGCTGTGACTACGTGTCTTCTGACTGGACTTTGGTCTACATCACCACCCACCTGCCAACGTAAGTACCGACTAATGTATTACGTTTAGTTTGTGCAAGAACTTTAGGAGTTCTGCACAATAGCTATTATGGTTGTCGAAGCTAGGCATCAGGATCAATATGAGGGACATACACATAAACTTATGAAGTGGGTGTTTCGATTTTTTTCTTCAAAACAACAAAATGCATTATCCCAGTGAATACTTATGATGAATGAATAGTTGAAATCTTTTTTTGAGCCCTTTGACTGCTGCGGAATCCTGTGTCGCCAGTAAATGTACCAGGAAAGGGACTAATTTTCACTGGAAACACCCCACACCTAAAAGACCGTAATCTGGGCACCAGCTCAAAATTTACACACCGAATCACTAAAAAATCAGATGGACAGCAAAGGAAAAAATTGTAACATGGACATCTGGTTTAGTTGGTGGACTCGATCGCATATTTTGTGCTCTAATGTTTCCATGAATCACTATTGTTTCAGAATTTGCAGTAAAATGCTCACTCCTTTCTAGGGATTCCACCGTAACGTCATTTGTACTTCACCAATGTTGATGATGTTAGGTTCACTGGAAAGCTCTTAGAGAGATAAAAACACTAAGGGGTCGTCCGTAATTTTCGAAAAATTAAAAAATCCGTCCTCGTGCAGAATTGTCTCTGACCCCCCCACACCCCCCCCCCCCCCATTTTTCCCCATTAATTTTTTGATTTTTACCGATGCCGGCATGCCCAGCTCGAAAAATAAGAACTCCTGACCCCATGTTTTCTGACTGCACCTGTGTCAAGTACTAGTAGCTAAGTACAGTGAGTATTAGGTCTACCGACGTCACGGCCATGCACCGTCCTACAACTTATTGTCAACTACATGAAAAGTCATGTACATGTACATGTATATCATAGTAGATACTGGTGTTATTATTATTATTATTATTATTTATTCATATTTATTATTATTTTAATAGGGCAGTCCCCACAGACTCAAGGTCTTCTTACGGGGTACCCTAAGAATGAAAGTAATGCATGGCGAAATAAGGATGGCGATGCCGCAGTGCGGATATCAGATGGAGCACTATTCCATCTGTCTGCAGCCAAATAAGAGAGAGAAAACAGACAATCGATCCTACACTACGTCTACAGTACAGTACACAGCCAGCTATAATCAGTGCAACAAGTATGAAAGTCACTGGAGCAAAAAAACAAAAAAAGTACGAAAAATCAAAAAATTAAATTCCGCCAGCACACTTGACCACCCACCCCCTTTTTGCCTGAGGACGGATTTTTTAATTTTTCGAAAAATACGGACGACCCCTAATTACAAACTTATCAAAAGAATCAATCACTCCGAAAACTTCAGAAGTGCTGGTATATCTAATCTCCAAGTCAAGTCGTCAAACACCACATGCTGTGTAATTTCATCTCCATTCAGTCAAAGCTTCTAAATATTTTGGAAAATATTCCAATCATCCGTTGCCGTCTTCTTTAGGAATGTTTTCATACTCGTCCGCGGCAGGGACACAAAACCTGTCAGCTGTTCAAATTGTTTAAAAACTGCAAAAGTTCCACCAAGTGCAAGCTGCTCAAACGTTATCTCCAAGAATTGAACCATGTTCAAGCCAACAGACATTTCTATGGTCCGACTTCTACCGTGCGCGATAAGGAGAGTATTTTTAACAGTGCGGTGCCATCTGTATAATGATAACAATGTTGCCTGTCACCTGATCTGCATCTTCTTTTCCAACCATAGGTATACCAACATGTGCAGTCCTGACAATCGCCAATGGGGCATTCAGTGAACAGCAGACGCAGAGACTGAGCGCGGTTGCGAATGTGACATGCAACGAAGGATACAAGATCAACGGCAGTAGATCTGTTGTGTGCTTGGAAAGCGGAAAATGGTCTGACACTCCACACTGCATGGGTGAGTGAATGATACAATTCCCTACTCTATTTCTCACCTCATGGAATGGAGATCTCTGTACGCTTGTCAAATTCGCTATCCCATCTGATGCTGAGGCGATATTCTTGAATGGATTTTATGACTCCTGGGCACTGAGCCCTTACTATTATAGGATGAGTGTAGAATGCAATATCGTTTCGTGGACTGGCATGTCTCTGGGTGAGAATTGCCCGTTGGCATCTGACAGAGATGCCAGGCAGTCACACGGTGCATTTACTGCTTACACAGCTGCATAATGCCGTTTGTTATTAATATTAATTTTATTTCTATTTTTTTCGGCAATGCAGATGATGATGATTATGATATATGACAAATATATGAGCAAGAGCTGGCTGGTGAACGATTTGGCACTCTGCTTTTCAGGTGTCTGAGTTGGCGTTTTGGGAGTTTGTTGGTCCCTGCCGTAGCCCTTTACATTCTGTGGTGTGTTGGGCTTTGCCTGCTGAATTTTGATAGAGGTACTGTGGACTGGTCCATTGTAGTTTGGAGGCAGCTGTTTAGATTTGTTCAGGCTGGCCATTTTCTTTTCCATGGTTGTGTATCTGGCCTTGCCTTACGTTCTCCTGAGCTGTGCTGGAGCTGGTCCTGGCCTCCGTGCATCAGAGCTGTCAAGTGCTGGGTAGAACACATCACCTCAGGGCGTGAACTGTGTGTTGGCAGGGATACTGCCATGGATGCCACCTTGAAGCTGGACCTGGCGGTGCTCACGTTTGAGCAACTCTGTGCCGTTGCCCAGGGCCATAACGTTCGCGCACCGGACGGCCTGACTCGTGCACAGCTGGTACCGCAGCTTCGGAAAGCTGGCATTGGTGTTTTGCCGTCAATTGTGCAGTCTGGTCTTGATAGCGTCGTCAGGGGCAAATTTGATGAATTGGTGCATGCTGTGGGTTGCGTTTCAGCTGGGGAGGCTTCTGTTGTAGCAAGTCTGGACTCACAAGTCGTACACCTCGAGAGAGTGAAGTAGAGGCTCTCCGTCTTGCTTCACTTGGATCTCTCAAGGAAGACGTTTACGCCTCAGAGTCTGAATCTCGTATTCATGCGCAGGAGCCTGCTTCCTCACCACCCCCAGCCATTTCTAGGCCTCTGCCGGTGGAGTCCCGCTCTCGAGTTCAGCCTCCGTATAGCGCTGTTCTGCAGCGGATGGTGGGTTCTTGTGCTGCTGCTGCATCTGCTCGCCCTGACTCTGTTCGCACTGGTCCTGGGGCCGGTAGTTCTACGGCTTCCGGTTGGCGAGATGTCAGTCGGCGGCGACATCGCAACAAGTTTGACACAGCCCCGACTGCTGCCGCTTCAACCACCCCTAATGAGGCTCTGACCAGGACTGTCACTTCTGCCTATCAAAAGCCCACACCCGTTAATACCTCTCCGAACGTGCTAACCGGAGCTGTGCGAACCCGGAGGAAGGTTTTCTTCATCGGCAATATCACTCCTGGCTATGAGGCGACATCTATTGTCAACTGGTGTAAAGAGCGAGATGTAGAGGTGCTTGCATGCTCCGTAGCCATATAGCTGTACTTTGGCACCTCGTACGCAAGCCTAACCGTACCTGAGGAGACCACCAATCGGGTGATGGGTGACTGTTTCTGGCCGGAGACTATTCAGCATGTTGTTCGCCCATGGAGGTTCAGTGACAGGGTGGGGGTGTCTGCGGACATCGCTGCTCATTGACTGCTCTCTCCTTTCATGGCTTCGCTGAACCCAGATGCAGCGCCATTCTTCTTCCCCGAATCCCGTGTCTGTTCTAACCTTAACCCCAATGCTAGGCCGTATGCTCCTCTGCGTCATCCAGCCGGGCAAGTGAAGGAGACTAGCTTCGAGAAGCTCCTATTGTATACAACAAACTGCCGTTGAATTGTCAATAAACATGCTGAATTGTCCGTAATCGTCGAACAACACCACCCTGATGTGATTTGCTTAACTGACACTTCACTAGGGCCTACTATACCTTTCTGTATTCCGGGATACCTAACCTATCGGCGAGACAGACCGCCTGGTGAGAACAAGTCTGGCACCACCTCCTGGGCATACGGTGGTGTTGCAATCCTTGTTCTTGAACACCGTTTTAGATCCATACGATATCGCCCGGATCTACTCCGTCCTATGTGTGATTCTGTATTGGTCCAGTTCACACCCAGATCAAGCCGTACTGAACCAATTGTCGTTTGCTGTACGTATCGACCGCCTTCAACCAGGAGCTTGGACATAACTCGCTACTGCGACATGATTGGTGATTCTCTCAGGATGATTCCTGTATCGTCCTCTTACGTCATCATTGCTTGAGATTTGAATGGAAAAAAAAGCCTCTGGTGCTCAACAGACCATACATGCCCTGCTGGTGCTGCAATACAACGAGAGTTTGGCTGTTTGGTCTTCAACAACTGGTCGCCACAAACACGCACACCGCACCTTCCGACAACCAGGCATGCTTGGACCTCATCTTCAGCAATCGTAGCCAACTAGTGTCGTCCATAGACACAGCCTGTGCTCTGGGTGCATCAGATCACCTCCTCGTTTCATGCCAGTTTGATATCCCCATGGACACGCTTCCCTCTTGTGCTTCATCCAGGGATTTTGTGCAGTCATCTTCTGCCCGTAAGTACAATTTTAAGAGAGTGACACCTACCATGTGGGCGGGTATTAATGATGATCTAGCGGCAGTTGCCTGGCATACGGTTGTTACGTCAGATGTGGACGAATCACTTGCAAATATTCAGACTGTTCTAGACCGCATCTTTACGCAGCACATCAGTGTCCAGCACTATGAGCGTTGCTCCATCAAGTATACAGGGAGATCACGCCTGTCGAAACAACTTCCGCCCTGGATTAATGCGGAATTGAAAGGTGCTATCCGTCACAAGGCGGAACTTCACAGTCTGAGTAGGAAGTACCCAAGTCCTGTCAACATATATCTGTATAAAAAGCAACGAAATATTGTGAGGTCACTGTCCCGGAAATGTCACCGGGAGTATATCCGAAAACTGCAGGTCCTGATTTCCGATACCAGTAATCGCCCTTCATTGCATAAATTCATCCGCATGCAGAGATCTTCGGGAAATAGCCCTGGAATACCTGACCTCGCATCAAATGGAAAGTTGGCAGCAGACCCTGCAGCTAAAGCTGCAGCTTTGAACGAGCAATTTGCATCAGTGGCGGTTGTTGACGACCCACGCCTACCATTTCCGTCCTTAAACCAACACCATCGCCTCCCGAATGCGCTTAGTGCTCCGATAATAACCACAGCTGGAGTTCGTAAAGCTATTGCGAAGCTTAAGCTTAAGAAATCGCCTGGAATGGACGGCATCTCCAATGAAGTTGTTAAGGCTCTAGCACCATCATTATCCTATCCTCTATGTCTTCTATTTAATTTGTCTTTCAGAAAAGGGAAGTTTCCATCGGCATGGAAAGTGGCCAAAATAACGCCGATATTTAAGGGCAAAGGTAGTAAAGCTACTCCTGGAAATTACAGGCCAATCTCCCTCTTATCATGCATTTCAAAATTATGTGAATGAATATTTTATGATCAGTTGTATAGCCATGTTGCCCCTGCCATTCACCCTGCTCAGTCTTGCTTTCGTCGTGGAGACTCGACTTCACTGCAGCTGACTCGCCTTGTACAGGACATTATCGGAGCAAGAGCAGAAAAGTTGTACACGAGCATTTGCTTCTTCGATATTGCCAAGGCGTTTGACACAGTGTGGCATAGAGGTCTCTTGAGGAAGCTTCAAGTCTTCTTTAACATCTCTGACACACCGTTGAAGTGGATAGGGAGCTATCTTTCTGGGAAAAGCCAATTTGTGTCCGTGTCGGGAGCAGACTCTTCCAAAGCTACCCGTGCTGTCGGGGGTGCCTCAGGGCTCAATTCTTGGACCATTGCTTTTTGTTTTGTATGTTAATGATCTACCAAGTCATGTTCCTGGAATGTCATTGTTTGCTGACCATACAGCTGCTTTGCGCCACTGTAAAACTGTAAAACAGCTTGAGTCAGAGTTGCAACACTCGATAAATATGATTGTCACCTGGATGTCCAGTTGGAGGCTTCAGGCAAACGTTTCAAAAACCAGATTACTGTTTCTAACAGATTCTGCCTCAATGTTTAAGGTCACCTTTCCCAATTCACCCACAAAAATTCAGACGGTAAAGGAGCACAAACACCTGGGGGTAATGTTCGATTCATCCATGTCCTGGTCGGCTCATGTAGATTACATTTGTAATAAAGTCAGCCGTGCTCTTGGCTATATTAAAAGTCATTGTAAACATCTCTCTATTCCGTGCCGTTCCGCTATATATAAAATTTATCTCCTTCCATTGTTTGAATATGCTGCCACAGCCTGGTGTTGCTTAGCTAAGGTCTTATCCGATTCCATTGAAGTTCATCATAAGAAAGTCCTAACAATTTTGTTCTCGAAGAAACCTTTCTTTTCCTTCAATGAGTTGTACTTATTAGCTCAGACTACTCCGTTAGAGCAACGCCGACTAACTTGCCTCTGTATATTGGTTCATCGAATTCTCTTGGGTTGTGTCCCTGAACATAATCATAAAGCCTTATAACTGGTTTGTTTCGGGCCGCTCAACCAGAAACAAAGTGTCTCTTCCTAAGGCCAAGTCAATGCACTTCACAAGATCGCCATTCTTCCAGGGCTACTGTGCGTGGCTACAACTTCCCGACTCAGTGAAGACTTCTGCATCATCGAAAGAATTTAAAGTGAATCTGAGGGCCTGCTGATGACTGAGTGCACCATAATAATAATACTTGCAAGTAAAAAAACTAATCAATATAGCTTTTCGGCTCTTTCCTTTTCATGTATATGATCTTCTCCTTCTTTTACCATGGTTGGCTATCACCCACATCTTCCCGTTTTGGCTGCCATCGGAAGCCATAAGATGTTGAATAAATAAATAAATAAATAATGATGAGGTTGTAGAATGCATATTGACGAGAATTTACAGGAGTTAAGCGTGTT